AGTTTGTTTCGATTAATTCTCGTCATCTTCTTCGCGGTTAAACGTTTAATTATCATTAATTACCTTGTCGCTTACGCCCTAGAGAAGATTCGCTGGTTTTATCTTTTTTTTCCTTTTTTTTTCTTTTTGTTTCTTTTCATTTATAGGTTAATTCCTCAGCTTAATATCTAGTCGTGTACTCGTAGCCTTACATAATTACTCTTAATGATCTAAGCTTGGTGGCCAGCACCAAAAACACTCACTAGATTCACTGCCTACGGACACAGATACGGGTATCGCCTCTTTCTCGAGCAAGCCACGCGCGTCGGCCATTTTTTCAGCCTAGGTGGCGCCATCTTCTCATCGCCGATTTCGCTGAGAAATCGTGTAACGCTTGTCGAAAGTTCGTTAAAGGGGCCGATTCTCGTCGTTTCAATAATTTCATAAATTTTTATTCAGTTCGTGTATAAAAAAGGAAAATAAAAGTATCGTAGAAAACGCAAGGTCCGAGCGGATTTTACAAAGTACATCCCGATAAATTACGATGCTTCGAGAAAGAGAGCGAGAGAATCGACGCTCGACCATCGCAGACAATGATAGATCGCGACTTCCGACTTGAACTCGAGCATCGATCCTTGAGTTTGAGCGATTCACAGACATCCAAGCGAGAGAGTACTTTGTATTTCATTATCTCGATATTCTTTTTTTTTTTGACGTTTTCTCAGAGTTTTTTTTTTGTTTTCTTTTTGGCTCTTAGTCTCATTTCGTTAACACATCGATCTGCAAGGACCTAACTAATTATTTCTCCACTTCCATGTCCCCTAAAGTAATCTACCATCGCTAGAAGCCAAAACGCGCGATGATTTTCTCGCTGCTTGTTCATATATTTTTTTTTTTTTATCCGTTTTCACTTTTACTTATTCGCTTATTTTGGATGAAGAAGAAAAAACGAGGTTCGATCCTTCGGTTCGTTTCTCGAACGACAAAGTGACTAACATTAATCTTTGGTTAAAAACAATCGCGTTTTGTTTTCATGTGTATACATGTACGCATGAGTTTGTGTATATGTGTATGTGTGTGTATGAACGCGAAAAGAAAGCTTCTGGACCATTGGCCTACGTTAATTTCAATGTAAACTTAAAATAAAGGCCAGCCTTCTATGTTAAAATTAACCGTTTAGCGCATTATATTAAAATTAATCCGTTCACCCGCTCAGTGGCGCCATCTGCGTTCGCCAATAAGACAAAGCGCAAAATCTTTCGTCTCTCCTCGTTCTCACACAACATCCTCTACGAGCTCTAGTCAGCGAGCATGAATACGAAGTCTTACGATTAGGGATAGGCTTAGTCCTAGACGATATTAGGTAGCTGTCGAGGTGTGATTATCGGAGAACCAAGGATGAACGTGGAAAGCGCGACGACTAGTGCTCTCTAGTGGTCTTCCGTTCGGTATCTAGCCCCTGACCCTCCTCATCGATCGTGCTACCTTCATTCTTCTATATATTCCATTACCCAACCTCAATTCCTTGTTTATCATAGCCTCTAACTACTCTGGACAAAAAATACGATCCAGCTCGAAACATGCAATATAGAGATTCAGTCTGTCCACTGATCAATCGAGGGTCAGCTGGCTGCGCAGAAGATCCTTCGAATCATTGGAATATTGCGGTCTTGGCCGCTTGTACCGTGTAATTGATATGTCAAGATAGGATCCTATCACTGGCGAGATGAGATTTGCTGCGTTTCCTCGTGTCGCGTTGGTTTTCATTTTCTCTTTCTATATTACAATAATAAAGGGGACCCCGTGAAAACAGGTCTTCACTGACCGGTCCGCCTGGGTAGTGTACAGGTACTTGGTGAAGAGATTCGTGCCCTCCATTCGAGCCAGGGACGCGTCAATTTGGAGCCGATCGAACGACGACAGGGGGAAGGGAGAAAAGCAACAATGGTAACGACGACGATGCTCCTCTTTCTCTCTGCAGAGGATGGTCCACCGTGGACGCTGTCGTTACGCCTCGAGCCAGCCGAGGTGCAACGATTTGGGACCGTTGCTCGTTGCTGAGACCCGCATCAGCGTTGGAGCAAACAATCGCGTCAATGGCTGTCCTCCTTCCGAACTTCTTCCTGACTGATCTTGCGCTCGTTGACGCGTCAGAAAAGACCCTTCCCATTGGTCTGAACTAGCGGCGACTAGACGTTCCTTTCTGTTACTTTCTCTTTCTCTTTGACTCCTTACTCTCTTTGCCTATCTCTCGTGCTCAGACGAGACTTGTTCCACCGTTCCGGGGAGTGGAGCTTGGCCAAAAGGTCAATAGGTCGACACAAAGAGACCTGGCCAGCAGCAGCGAACTAGCTGTCACTGACGTACACGCCACCAGGTCTGCTGCACCTTCTCGTGGAGCTTCCTGCAAATACCCGCGAGCCTCCGTCACATTCCAGCCTCTGCGGCGTTCTCCTCCGTCTCACCGCCCCCTTCCTCGCTTGGCAAGGTCGTTTTCGCCGCTCCACCTGTGTCCCCCGTTTCTGTTGCTTCGCCTGTCTCATCGCCCTCTTCCAGTGTCACCTGAACAAGAAATAAGTTGATCAATTAAAGTCTCAGTTGCGTTGCACAACGCATTCTCACTGGGCTTAAATTTCGACTAACACGAAGATATTGAAGAAGTAGCAACATTTCGCTTGAAACGATTGCTTTAATGAAAACAAAATAACTTCTCGATGATGTTTAGATTTATTGATGTAAATTTCACGAGATTCAATGATCAAAACATAAGGAACTAGGGAGTTTGAACTCTGCCCTCTAGCGTTTAAGAAACGAACTTCAAGCGACTCTTACCTGGAAGTGTATTCTATCAGACTGCTGCTCGTTCCCTTGCTGTTGCTGTTGCTGTTGATCGTCGGACGGTGGTGACGGAGGAATCATTGATTGATACCAGTCTCGATTCTCCTCCAACGTATCCAGAATATCCTGGGCGTCTGGGTGTACCAGGTCCGCCCAAGTTTCCCAGAGAGGATGAACAATGTAATCAATGAAGCCGACCTGCGACTTCTCGACGGTGGCACTGTGCCTGTCACACATGGGGCTGATATCCATGTTCTGCTCGCGTTCCCGATCTCCTTGGAGGAAGAACTCCTCCATTAACAGACCTACCCATCGTCGGTACAGTGGCAATGGTTTCGTAGGATTGGACAGGTCAGCACAGTGCACCAGATTCTCTAGGACTTGAATCCGGTCGGTGTAGTTGTCTAACAGAAGCACACCAGAGCCTGCCACCTTCTTCGTCTCAACCATAGTCTTCAAATCAGCTAACAGAGACATATGCTTAGACATGTCCGTGGATAAGACCATGTCAATGACCATTTTCCTCAACGTCTGACGTTGCTTCTTCGTCATGTTGACGAAAATGTCGCAGCCCTCGTTCTGAAGCAGTTTGAACGCCACTGCCAAGTGGTGGTTCTCCAAAACAGACTCATCATTGTACATCAGAGCAAGCTCAGAGCCTGAAAAGATATTGGTCTATTAGATCAGAGATAAAATGCAGGAATGAACTTATTTAAAAGCATCATATTAGATGTATTGCAACAAGATTCCATTTAACCAACGATAAAGAGACATAGGTTAGATAAATACGTACTCGAATTGATAAGGAACTGGTTGGTGAGTCCAGGATGGTCCACGTCATGAATGGTGGCTGCGAACAGAGCCGCCGTGATTTCCAATGGCGTGAACACGGACTGTAATCAGAAGAACGACTTTTATTAGCTAACATATACGAGTTAATGTTAAGATCATGACTCCAAACCCAAGAAAGTGCCAATTAACATGAATCCCAAACACAGTCAGGAAACGCAACAAATTCTCAGCAGCTAAAGAATCTTTAATTGAAACACGTTTCCTAGAGACGAAGGAGAACTATGTTGTTGTCAGTGACACGTTTTGGGTTGCGAAACTATCAACGTTGACTGAATGTATATTAACCTCAAGTGCGGGCGTGTTGAGCAGAGTGTGGGTGGACTGGGTCACATCGGCCGCGTGCAAACTGTTGTGGAAAGGATTGTCCTTGACGTAGTGATCTTCGAGGGTCATCATGAAGGTCACAAAGGTCTTGGGCGGTATGGCCAGCGATTTGAGCAGATCCCGGGTTTGGAAGGCTGTGTACGCTACGCAGGTCAGCGGTCTGTTGCTGCTCAACTCGCCTATCCTGAAGATGTCGATGCCCCACTTGTCGATGTCTGATAGAAGCTGTAGTATACAAAGGTTAATTTATAATAAAAATCCAAATTTTAATCATTTTCTCTCGTAACATTTTTCTATACAATAAAGAGAAATAATATTTCCTGTGACAAATTAGGTTAATTGAGAGTGGATTACTGTAATTTATTCGATTCATAAATTTAGGCAATTGTTAGTATAGTGGTGATGCATTTGACAATAGAAGTACTTATTTTACTATGTCATAAATAACTAAATAAATAGTTTCTGCTATTCCCATCTTTTCCAATTCTAACCTAAAAATCGAAAGTTCTTTGTGAATATAACCTATGAGATCCTTAATTGTAAATTCGAAAAAATCTGTCAAAGTCATAGAAAATTCATTCCATATTTTCTAATTTTAGATGAAATCATTTTGTTTATAGTTTATAGTACCTCATATGTCCAAAAGTTTGTAAGACGTTTTATTTCTTCGAGATACGACAATTTTCTTTTGTTAGTTGGCCAGACTGATTGATCTTTTAGACAGTTTTTTGGAGGTTAAGAATTGATCCTGCAAATAATCACTTAGCACTGGGTCGCGATTTTAGAATGTTCTTGAATGGAAAGTCCATCGTTAACATTCATTAACACGATTAGTATCAAACTTCAGCGCGTTAATGCATAAGTCACGTATACAGCCGAAACTAAAAATTTTACATTCATTCCACTTCAAACTCGCTTAAATAACTTACCCTACTATACGTATAATGCAACAATTATGACCACATTAATTGAATCTGCCAACACCTCCAAGTGCAAAATTTACTTCAAAATGTTGAAACACGTATAAAATTAAATAAATATAATAAATTATACATTTACGATGTTCAAAAATAATAGAATCATTGTACATGTCCAACCCTTGAATAACCCTAACCTCAACGCAAATAACCTTTCGAAAATATTTAATTGACAGATGCTGAATTTCTTTACACGGCTATCGACCAAAAGCCGTAAAATAAATTGATCGGTCATAATACTCCAATTGAAAACTGTTTATTACGGTTAAAATGAGATAAATTTTGCTGCAGACATTTTGCAGGACCTCAGGATTAGCTCAAACATTCCATGAAACGTTCTAGCCCCGTTTCATGTAAACAAACAAACGCTGCCCCATGTTGCGGGCCAAATAAGGAGTTGGAAGCCATTTCGCGACTCTGAATCAGAACGCGTAGGCTTGTGAGCGATTTTAAGACCTCGAAAGGCGTATTCTCCCGGAACCCTGTGGTCTCAGGAAGCACCTCATTAGCATACAAAGCGGTAGACGCAGATTATGTGAAAGTCATAGCTCCTCTGCCATCGGGAAAGAGGATTTGCATCGGTTACACGTGACTTTGAAATGATATTCTCTCATCGAGTGTCCCATGGGCAAATCCTTGATTAAAAGTTGGATTTCGAATCGACGCCGAGTTAACCTCGAGAGTGATTCTAAGAAACGCGGAATTCAATCGATTGGAGGATTATTTGCGATGATCGACAAGATTGATTGGCGCCGAATTGATTCTGTGAATGAAAAACGAAGGTCAAATGCAAGAGTCAACGGAAGTAGCAAGATCGTGGCTCCCAAATTAGGAGGTCCCAGTTGGCTTGCATGGAATTTTTCGTGAGCATCTCTCTTCGATCACTCGGGAATTTAAAATAAAAATGGTCAAAGGTTAGTACCAAGAAGCGTAAAATATCGATTCACCGGAGTTAGAAATTATTTGGGGGCAAAGTCGAATTCTATCGCTTCGAAAATAAACTAGAATCTACATATGTAAATAAACCAGAATTATGGCCCAACTGTACTCAGAATCGAACTCTTAAAATCGTTAACAAGATGCAGAACAAATAATCGATTTCACACAGATTGAAATTGGACACAAAACTTTCTCGTCCGAAAATAAAAATTCACTGCTAAATTACTAACGTAATAAAAAGAAAAAGAAGAATCACTACAAAAATATTCAGGAAAAACGTCAAAACCGAAAGAAAAGAGAGTGCAAAGGATACAAAAATTGTTTCAAAGCTGTGAGAAATAAAATATCCTTATTTCCACTAGAGTATAAGAAAAGTTACTATAATACGTCACGTGATCCAATCTCGTGCCAGCCATTTCTCGCAATGCCTTGTAAATTATAATTAAATTAAGGTGAAAATGATGATAATGATAATGATAAGGTATTCGTGAAATTGGGTTATAGTAAGCTAGTGACCTCGTCCCAAATTTTTCGACAATGTACGCGTGCGACTCGTGCAGATGATCGTAAACATAGGCGCCATTGGCCTTTCGAACAATCGATGTCTATTATCAGTCTCGCTATAGATCACGTACGCTGTACATGGCGACGCAAATAGATTTCTGCTAGGACAGGGGTGTTGGGGTACCTCGTTCCACTTTATGACTTTCTGTAGATTGCATTCTTTTTCCTGAATTTATTGGACTGCAGCTCTTATGTGTGAATTATGGTTTCATATGTTGGCATTAACATGTCTACTGCGTACACACTGAATCCTTTCAACGCGCAATTTTACAGTATCTATATGATATAATTTGGAGCTCATTAGTTTATTCGAATAGATTAGTATTTCTTATTCGTCTCTTATTTATTCATTGATCGAGAAAGAAAATTACTTATTTGTTACTTTTAGGTTACTTTGTTGCTTCCCATCTTCGGTATTTATTTTTTAAAATTTCTAAGATTGAACAAAATTAATTTAATTTATTCGCAATTTACTATTAATTTTAGACAATTGATAAAAGATAATATTGTTGGTTTGAGTAACGAATAAATAAATTTTTCTATTATTCTTTAATTTTTTTCATTGCAAAGATCATGATCTTAACATTATTGAGAATTAATAATTAAATGATTCCATGTATCACACATTTGAGAAAGAAATAAGTAGTGAATGTTAATAATGTGGTTTGTCAAAATTATTTCATGGAACGGACTCTAAAATCACATAAAACGATCACGTATTCATGTTTACCAATTTACAGCTAATGTTTACCCTGATTCAGAACACAGACCACTATAAACCACAAAAGATTCAAAAATTTCCCAAATGACCCATCGATTACGTATTTAGAAACGGATTTTCCTTGAAAACCTCATCGTAACCGGTTAACGTTCATTTCCCTGTTCTATACCCGTCTTTTGCCTTCTGCTTGCCGTGTTAATTGGGAAACAAGGTAAATATTTAACAGTCGGGGCCATTGTTCGCGAGACTGGAAATTTCCTAAACGAGATTTTCAAAGCTCCTTGTAAAACTTATGTTAATAGACACGTACGACGTGATAAGGATAAGGATGTAGGGAACAAAAGGAATCAAGAATGATTTGATGTAATTTTCATTATACTTTGCAGCAAAATATTTTCACTATACTTTGTAGTTCAAAAAGTTTCCCTAGTTTATTATTACTACATTGGTAATTTGAAAAGGCATTATGCATTAATTATTCTGAAGCATTTATTGTAATAAAACTTTCCAAATTGATACATTTATTGAAACTGATATCAATCAAAATATGATGCATTAATTTTTACACTAATCAAGTATGTTTGAAGAAGTATTTGCAAGCATCGAATGGTCATTTCTCAGAATAATTCTCAGAATTTTTGTATATTAATGCACCACTGAAAGGTGAGGACCTGTTTTGATTTATCTACTACGTAACACTTTTATTAAAAGCAGAACTTATTACTATGTAAATGAAATATCCATACAGTCATAAGTAAATCCAGCCAAGAAGAAAGAAATGGGAGAAATTAGATTACAAAGGACTATGTATATTTGATCTTATAAAAAGTCTCAAGGCCTTTCTAGTATATAAGTGTGGTAAGTGTATGCAGTAAAATATTCAACAGAAAGAAATAATACTCTACAGCTGTGAAATGGATATAAACAAGGAAGTAGACTACCCAGTACATGTGGAATGTCAACAGAATAGACTGAGACATCTTTAAACCGTGTCAGAGATTACACGTGTTCCTGACTGGTGTCTAGCATGATTAATAATTAGACAACGGCGAGGGATTAGCCGTGAAACCAGCAGGAGAGTAGAACTGAGTAGTATATAGCGAACTACGTGATCCGATTGCGGTCTGGAGACTGTAAAGACCAAAACATAATGACTGTGCCTTGTGAAAATTTAATCAAAGTGGACTTACAGACACTTTTAAAAATCATGGTCGAGGATTATGAGGAATGCGGCATTTGTGCCTTCAATTATAAGGACCTTAAGAAAGAGGAATGGTTATAATGAGTTATAAATGGTTATAATAGGTTATAATAGGTAGTGATACTTTAAAAATCACTAAAAAGGTATTGAGTGCAATTATAATATCCATCATGTTGTTAAATGTGTTATGATACTATAGACTTATACATTTGAAAATGATTTAAATTGTGGGTTTAAAAATTTATTGGAGATTGAATATAATTAGGACATGCTGTATGTTGTAAAATGTGTTAGGATATACTTATACGTATTTTAATACAATTTGAATTGTAAATTTAAAAATAAATAGAAAGGTGTTGATTAGAACATTCTATATGTAACTAAGTATATTAGAATACTGTTCTAGTTTCATTTCAATTGTCTACTTGAAAATTGGTAGAAGGTTATTTCATATAATTGGTAAACTCTGTATATTGTTAAGAAGTACACTGTATGCAAAGTACATTATATTACTAGGAAATAGTTACATATTATTTCATAATCATTAATGACTTATTAAGCAATGGAGAAGGAATGGGATTTTGAAATATGTCTGTAAGTTTCATACTAGGTACGGTAGACTATATGATTAAATTGTATATTAAATTATACATTAGAATCTTCTGATTACAAGAGTTATAGGATACAATGAATTATACCTACTATATAATACTGGGATTACATAACAATCATTAGATAACTGTTAGATCTTGTGAAATAAGGAATACGGTACAATTATTTGACACCTGTTAAAGGATTACCTGTGTTACTGAAATTCTAAACAATTAAAAGTGCAATTCTCTTGAAACTATCTGATAAATACTAAACATGAAACAAGATCAATGATCATTATAAAATAATATTAAATTATACTAGTGTTACATTCCTAACGCAGTACAAAGAATAAAATCCACAATATTCAGCTGCACAATGAAACTTCTTTTAAAGTGAAACTATTAATCAGTTACTAACAACCAATTTAATAATCAATAATAATTTACACGATTTATTGATTTACATAACTTTGTAACATTCAACAAAAGAAAAACAAGTTATTTTTAAAGCAGTTTCTTATGCGATTTTCACGTCTTACAATTAGACTTTGAAACCGGTTGTGCAAGTGTTTTGAACGAATGCGACACTTGCCAGGAGACACTGAATTCGTAATCGAGGCCTTTTCAATGAGTAGAAAGTGTAGGATACCGTTAATTAATTTCGCTTTCGCGATTCTGTTTCGCATTCTGGGAACCACTTATGTAATTCCAATGAATCATTTGCAAGGGTGTTATTCAACGGTACAGATCATTATCAATGGCATGACTAATTCACAGGACCCTAACGAATGTAAAGAGCTTCTCAGAAGGGTTTCAGAGAATGTCTCCTCAAATAGAATCTAAATATAAAAAAATTTTAATTACCAAATGTTAAAACATATTTCCTATTCATTCAATCATTTTTTAAAACAAATTTATAAAATTACTATTATTGTACATAAATAGTTACAAAAATGTGTATAAAAATTTGCAAGTGTGTAATAAGAATTTTTTAATACATCACCACCATGATCCCTAAAGTACCCTGGTCAATTTTTCTCACTGATCAATGTCAGTAATAGAACCACTCTCTATTAAGACACGTTCGTTGGTCTATTTTCTAGTCTGTTGAAGTTTGGATGGTTTTAAAGCAAACAAAATCCTACCTTGCCGAGTTCCTCCTCATGGGGCGTCTCCACACCATGAAGCGGCACACGTTCCCCAGTGAAGCTATTCGTGTGCGTGAGGGGCCGTTTCACGCCGCTTATGTGGGACATTGCGGCCGGGCCTCTCTGTGCCCGGTCCTTCTTCTTCGCCGCCCTTGCATCCGCACTTCCGGCAGCTGTAACCGCATCCTCGATCCGCAGGGAGGGTAAGTCCAACTCCTGTTGCTTGTCTATGGATGGAAACAAATGAATTCGTTAGACTAGTTACAGGAAAATCGATAAAAATTATCTAGCATAGAAAATATTGCACTACATCATTTACACAGAAATACTGACACTAAATCTACCACGCTTCAAATTTTTAACTATTATATATTTAATTATTAACTATTTTTCAACTTTTGATTTAAAATAACTTTGACCATTTGCCTACATGACTTGTCTTTTAGTGAACGTATAGTCAATTTTTTGATATTTCCTCTTATTCCATTCTTTTATTTTTCTTATTTCAAGATTCATCGTCCCCCTTTTCATCCATTGACAATTTAACAAGTCGTGGTAGGTTTAGTGTCAATTATAAAATTCGAAAAAGGAAAATTGTATCCTGATATTAAATAAAATTGGAACCTGATTGTGTAAGGAATATAAAAGATTCTTTGTTGAGAAGTAACATTTGATATAAATGGAAATTTAAACAGATTTAACTAAAAATTATTTTTATTAAGTAGAGTCAGACAGATTTTGTTTTTAATTTTCAATTTCTTTCTCTTTAAAACTGTGATTTGTGATTACCACACACTGTCTTCTCGTCCTTTCATTTTTTCTTTTTATTCATTCAGTCACTTTCACCTTATGTAATATTAAAATAGATATATCCGGTCTCATACAGCGATTAATTTGTAAATATTCTTTTCCAAGTATATTCAAATCACCAATATGCGATATACAATTATAACAATACCAATATACCTATATTAAAATGGCTAATGACGCGATTAACATAATTACATAATAATTAATAAATAATATTCAATTTATTCTACACGATGAAATAGTGAATGACGAGAAATGTTGAATTATTTTATACCAAATTAATACTTAAATAATTATTTCCAAGGTTTATATGAAACAATTACTTCAAAGAACAATAATTCTAGTACCCGACAATCAATATACTAAATAAAGAGGTCATTATATTCAAGAGCACAGATTACAGCTAGTTACACCATACAACTTTTTAATTTATTCATCTATTTGCCAACGGTACTTTTCTTTTTTTTTCTAAGATATGAAAAAAGAACCTTAAGCCGCGTTTGAATCGACACAGAAGGCTGCGTAAACAAGAAACCGATTCCTCGTTCCACGAGCAAACAGGAATCAGCGCGAGACAAAGAGAGCAAAACGGGATGAATGATCGTGAAACACGTGTGCATTTACGGAGTTTCAAGGGCTCTTAATGCGTAAGAGTCTACGTTACTCTCATTGTCCCTGATAAATCTGCTCCTGGCGTTGACCTCGACAAAATGTGCGAATTATCTTCTCTTTTCTTTCGTACACTTTTTCCCCCTTTTTTATAGTCTTACGTCTGTCTCGTACTTCGTTGCAAACAAAGAATCGAATTCCTTTCACTCCTCTCGACCGAATCAAAGTGTGGTTAGAAGAACAGGCTTGTGACGTTTGCACGCGGTTCAAGAAATTTGGACTTTGATAAACTCACCAAGGAAGGTGCTGCAGATGTACTCTGATATCTGGTTGCCGGATTTTGAGGATTCTGAGAAGTGGGACAGCTCCTTGTTCAGCATACGCTTGAACTGTAATCAAAAAAAGAAATGTGAATTAGTATCTTTGCTCTGTAGTATTAGATTAGTTTCAATAATTTAACAAGTAATAATAATACTTAAATAATCATTTAATCACCATTATTCAACGATTATAGTTATATAGTTAATAATTATATATATATGAAAATAGTAATATTAAAATTGGTAGCTTAATTTTTATAATTTATAGAATTTAGAATATTTCATTTTTAATGTTCATATTTTGATATTCCTCGAAATTAGACAGAAATTATTTATTGCAAACTTTCATCAAAAATTGAGACACCAAAATAAGCACAGTGAAATAAAGAATTCAATTCCTAAATTTTTCTATTAATTATTTAAGTTTAATACAACAGATAATACATCATATTCCTAAATCTAATCACTAGTGCCAGCTAGGACCACTGAATCCGTCAGAACCGATGAATTCAATAAAAATCAATTAATCCTTGTGGAATCCCTATTGTCAATGTCTTGTTGATCTAATTTTGCAAAAAGTAGTTTACAACTCATCGATTTTTATATTTAAATCGCAGGAACAAAGAAAGTCTCGGCTCGGTACTAACTATAACTATCCGCAAATCTGCATACGAAACAACTTCTCGATTCCCCAATTAGTAAACCTTGCATTCCAAGTCCTTGAAGGACAAGTCAAAGGAATTCATTCCCAGAAGAGACAAAAGGGTTGGTCGAGCTGTCCAATAAATGTGAATGCCACCAGATAAAAGCGATACGTACGTACATAACCTATATTCCCCTTAAGTCTCCCATTCCCCTAGCCCAGTCACTGATCACCCTGTCCCAATTTCTACTCATTCACCGAGTCACTAACGAATTTTTTACAGAAAGATAGACAATATCTCTGTCACGATCCTGAAACGAATCGTATAATGAAAAGCAACGAACACAGAGGAAGATAGAGACAGAAAGCAAGAGACCAAGATTCTTCATCCCTATTGGCTGAAAGCGCGCTATCTCTGTGAAATTTACAATATTTGCGTCTCGTGTGAAATTTCGACGCAGATAAACGACTGCATGTGGTAGACGTGAACGTCATCACGTACAATCTGTCGAAAATGGCGTGAAATTCGCAAACAGATTGCTCGCAGCGTTACTTGTGTATCGCGACGCGCGTTATCAGAGCTGGGTTGAGGCTTTGTGACAGCTGGTGAAAGGATTTCTTCTTTATCCACCACGATTACGCTGGATATGTCGATGCAAATGTGACGGAGAACGGCGGGAAAGGTGGACTGACCTGTTATCGAATTCAAGAAACGAAACGCACCTCGGATTTCTGTGTTTGCTTGTTCTGTTTTCCCAGCTGCCGCCTACTGCAAGTATGATAACGTGACTGGTGAATGAATTCCTCTATCTCATGATGCACATTAATGGGATACCGTCGTTAGGGCATATTCGAATGGCGTGATGAGGATTTACGATACTCGGTGAGAGTGATTTTCGTAGAATTAGATTTGGAGGATTTTTTAACGTCGCAACTGTGGACTCCTTAGTTCTGACACCTTTGGTTGCTTTATCGGGTAATTTATGAGTTGTTTAGTTATCACGCTTCTGGGTTCCAAAGTCTTCGCTTTTGTAAATATTAAGTCGATTCAAGTTTTGGGGATTTTGTATTTTGACCCCTTGGAAACATTTTTGTTCCGAATTGTGTATTCAGAGCTCGGTGAGGCCTTCTTTCTCGGTAAAATGGAGTTTTGTAAGTCCAGGTTCGAAATTTTTCTCAAATCTAACAATTTCTGGAATTCCTAAGCATCGTACTTACACCCCTAAACTTATAAATTTTCTACATCCTCGATATTGTAAATTTTTTAACGTTTTAATTCCTAATGTATTTCTCTTTCTGCTCTAATTACAGTAATTTCAAAATTTGTCACTTTTCTGTGATATTTAAATGATTTTCGAGAAACCTTGTGCGATGAACATTGCTGTATCTTCAATTTTCAGTCTCTTATTTGTTTACCGAATTTCCCAAGTCACTAATTTTTTAATTCCAAGTTATTTCTTTGTTTTCCTCGTACACCCTTCCTTTGATCCTAATGGATTCTAATTAACGGCAAGAAAACGATTTCAATTAATTTCAGATTCTGAGCTCAATACGAAAACAACATTTCTCAGGAAGTAATTAGGTCATCAAGTGCAAATTGCGCACTACAGATAATTGAACGACCTTTCTTTCGTACCTGGTCGATGTGTATCGGAAAAATACACATGGTTTATATGCATTAATACCGGTTTTCAAAAAGAAGAGGATCGTCTCATTAATCAATGTCATTGTAATGACCATAAATAAGTTAGTCTTGAATTACACGAAAAAAAAAGTATCACTGGTTGGCGAAGATTAGAGGAGCTTAATTTTATCAATTAACCATTTGAATTACGTCAAAAGTGCGTGGATAATATATAGCGATACCTTCGAAGGAAAAAAACTGCTCTGATTTCGATTTTGAAAGAAAAAAAGAAACAGCTGAAATCCGACTCGATGACTTTATATAAATAATCCAATTACATAATACAGAAATAATTTTAACACTTAACAAAGTTGTTACCGGTTAAATCACCGATAAGATTATCGATTATGGTTGATGGGATTAATCTTGTATGGATAATTTGTTAGGCAGGTTACGTCGCTTCTGTGATTGCCCGATAAAGAACGTAATCGAGTTCATCGATTCGCGATATCAGTCGTCGGGCTACGTCATCGATACATTATCGTGCGAATTTCTTTGTGAAGGTTGATAATAATTTATTCCTCTTTCTTAATACATGTGTACTTATAACGATCGCTCTGACGTTTGTTTTTAATATTACATAATCTTGAGATAGGTCAGAAACGAGTTACGTTTAGATGCTTGATGCTCAGTATGAAAGAAATTGCATTGCAATTTAACTTGCAGGATTTATGGTTAGAAAATTTTGATTAAAGAAAGATTTCAGGTTGGTAGCAATGTTTGGAACAGAGGAGACTTGAATCTGGTCTTTGTGTAATACTAATTCTAACACTTTTGTCCTTGTACAGTGCAAAGTATTTTAATATTAATATTTAGTAACTATGGTATGAATATATAATGTGATAAGTAAAGAATACATTGGCCTTTGTACTAGAGAATATATATTCCTATATGCAGTACAATTAAATTTTATTTGTAATACGTATAGCAACTTAATATTTTCTTCTACGTACTTAGTTTCAATGTAAAAATTCTTCATTCATAAGTACGAAAGGTATTCTTCAATTGGTTCACTTAAGCTTGAAATATTTCCCCAAATATTGACACGTTATTCACAGATGTTTATTTTACCAAAAACCTTGCAGACCTTCTACACCCAAAAAATAAAAATGCTCGCTTAATCTATCCACGCTTTGAGCTGTATAACAATATTTTGACACTGAATTAAAATAAAGTGCACAATATTTCAAGCAAACCTTTATAAACTTGGCAATGTGACAAATTACTTTAAACTAGTTTACTTTCTCTAATTATAGAATCATCTATTTCAAGTTCTCACAATTATCTTAAAAGGCAGAACCTGGATACGCTATACTTCTTCCAGCTATAAGACAATATAAATGCTTCATCCAAGGTATTCTATCTAAAAGTCATTTTTATTTCTAATTATAGCAGTACATAAATACTTCAACTAGGGAGCTTAACCTAAAACCGTACACTTTCTTCAATCATCCATATCCATAAATACTTGATTTAAAATAGCCAGTCTAAAAGCGGCCATTTCATTCAACTATAAAGCGATATAAATATTTGATCAGTGACATAAGTTTCTTGTCACATGGATCTATTTTCTAGGCTAATTATTCGAGTAAACCTGAAGGCATAACCCATCTGTCATCTATGATGACACAATCATAGAATGCGTCATGACAAACAACGTGATTCCTTAAATGTTCCTGGTAAATTCCCATAGAGGACTTCTTATCTTTTTAGTAGCCTAGCCTTTCTCGTATCTATAATCTGGCTACATTCAAAAATTTCTACGAATTTAGACAGTGGAAAATTACTGGATCATTGTGTAATGTGAAAATAATTTGTCGCAATAATTTATTCTCTTTATATAAGTAATGAAAATATAGTACCAATCAGAGGAACACAGAAGTCTCTTTACCTTTATTGTTATTGTGATTGCATTATTAATTTGAGATTTACTGTCACCTTAAAAATAAAGGTTAAGTTCATAGAAGATTCTATAATATAGTCACAATGCATATAATGGGAAATATAACATTGTAATGATTTGATATTATTTTCTGTTTTTCATATTATTTTTGTCATGACGGTTTGTAATAATTAGACAATGTTTGTAAATAAATTATTCGTGGAAACACGAAAGCAGAAAACATTCAAGAAAATAAATATTTCGCAATTCTGATATAAGTATGTAGCACCTGTTAATCTAATTATAAAAATTATTCACAATAATAATAATCAATATTGATTGAGTAAAAGATAGGCGAGTGTCCAAAAATAAAAGATAATCCAATTAGATTCATACGATAGATAGAGGGTGTCCAAAATAGGCTTAAAGTTCGAGTACTATATATGAAATTAATATAAAAATATATACTATTTAGAGTTATAAGTTTATTTTATCAATCGGATGACTTTTGATTTAATTATCCCATAATCGAGTACATTTTACTACATTTACGAACTATAAATTAATCACTGAATATATTTATTAAAAAAATATCGACAAATTAAGGAAACAACACAAAAATCGTTAATAATTTAAATCTTGCTCAGAATCATCAATATAATAAGAAATAAATGCGAACTCATTGTAAATTGTCATTTCTGATATAGTATCAATTTAAACAAATGGGATCACATAAAGACTAATGATAAATTACTATATATTATTTATTAACCATATAATTATTCATTAATTAATGTGTATCAATTGTTAGTTATTAAATAAGTATTCTGATTAAACGACCCCATGACACTTTTATCGTC